TACGAGTATACTTGCAGTATAAAACTACTAAACTAGTAGTTTACTGAGACTATACTTCAAAGTGTAGTAAAAATGCTAGTATTTAATTAGAAAACTATCAGTATTCATATGTTCACTTTTAGTATAGTTGCAGTACAAGCTAAAGTATTGTTGTAAACTAGTTGTGTACTAAAGTTTACTACTGTTATACTTAAAGTATACTTAAAAGTATACTTTTATATACTAGAAAGTGGGCCAATTTAGTCCCAAGAAGTATTGAAATAGTACACTTACAAGTATACTACTAGTACACTGATATTTGTATACTTGCTACATAAAGTATACTTAAAATATACTTTAAATAAATAAACTTTACTTAAGTATACTTAATAAAATAAACTTGAAGTATACTACTTTTTGGTAAGGGTAAGAGTGTCTCCAACGGGCCCTACAGCTGTAGAACAGCCTCATGGGATATAAACCAACAACCCTCTATAAATAGGCCCATTACTTAAAATGCTGGAGCTCAGTGGGGCATCCAAAAGCTTCCACATGGAATCATATACCTCATGTCTACTACACAAAACTGGGGAAGCATTTCCAATCTCTAAACACAGCCAAAGTGCATTAAGACCTACAAAGGTGAAAGGATGATAACTTAGAACTTGAATTGTTATTTTATTCGTCCTTCTTTCTTCTTTTGATTAACCTTGCCTGTAGTTAAAAATGTTCTAAAATAATGTAATTATTAAATTTAAGTCATACAATTCTATTATAACACAATAGAATTCAAGAGCTGCTAACATGATGGTATCTGCACATGGTGACAAAAAAAAAAAAAACTCATTCACCTATTCATCATTCTCTCTTATCCAATTTCATACACCATTTTTGAAAAATCTTATGTTCACCAAGGCTGCATTTATTTGGTTAATACAGTAAAGAAAATAATATTGTGAAATATTATTACAGTTAAAAATGAATGGTTTCTATTTTAATATGTAATTTATTCCTGTTATGTCAAAGCTGATTTTTCAGCAATCATTCAGTGTCTTCAGTCTTCAGTGTCACTTGATCCTTCAGAAATCTGATATGCTGATTTGGTGCTCAATTGTTATCATTTATTATTTGTACTCAATAATTAATAATGATTCTTATTATTATTATCCTATATTTTTTGTGAAAACTATAATAAATTTTTTTTTCAGGATTCAATAAATAGAAAGTTCAATAAACAGCATTTATTTGAAATAGAAACTATATATTTTGTTTTATTTTAAATGTCTTCACTCCCATTTTTGATTAATTTAATGCATCATTACAATATTATATATCTTTATATATTATCTATATATATTAAAGCAGACATATTTGCATCTTTAGACATTACACAAATACAAATTAGCTAAAACTATACACCTTTGACAACTGACTGTCAGATTTGTATTTGTAACTGATTAAAATCTGAATCTGATATCAACTGATCAGTAAACTGAAGCAAATATGGCGAGTAAGGTGAAAGTTTATTTATAAACCATGTGATGAATCTATGGAGTTGTTAGGTGAGTTTGAACTCTCGTTTCAGGGAAGGCTTGCTGGACAGGGCCTATCTCTCTTACATCCAGTGTGCCCAAGCAGAAAAATGTAATAATGCTCATATAGACACAGTATGACATTTCTCTATCTCTCTCTTACCCCATTATTTTTTCCATCTCACTCTTATTGCTCTTTCTCTCTTTCTCTTGCAAACACATTGGCCAGGCTAAAATCAGAGACAGAGAGGAAAATTTCACAAGACGACACACACAAATCAAACTCTGAAAATATGTCTAATTTTCATGGCAGTATATGATGATAATTTTTTTGTATGTGATGGTATGTTTCTGTTTCAGTGATGGCATGATTATTTTTGTGCCAGAACCACAAGCCCTAGATTGATCAGATGTATTGGATTGTCAGTTGACTTGATTAAGGCTTTAATGTGGGATTGATACACATTTTTACACATACAGTAGATTCTCCTTCCGCCTTAGAATAAGAGAAAGAGAATATAAACATACTTTTGAAATCACACCATCCCACCCACGCACGCGCACACACACACACACACACGGATACACAACCTTCACCCACACAGAGGTTCTGGAGCAGCAGCACTAAGTGTCTCCTCAACTCTTTATCAACCCACAAGGAGCACTTCCACCGTGAAGTCGCATCACACCAACTACCTATATCCAGTGTGTCCCTGCTCACACACACACACACACACACACAAACATCCCTGCCAAAAATCAAATTGCCTAGTACTGCTTTTTATTTAGCAGCACAGCTTCACACAAAGACTAGACTAAAACTAAAATTAAAACAGGCCGCCAAAAACAACACTAAGCAGCACTCCTGTCTTCCATCTCCCACTATATCAGTCTAGCGTTGCCTGGACTGGTTTTAGGGAGTAAATAGCCCCCCCCCCCCTTATAGCATTTACAGTAAAAAAGCGACTATTGCCATACAGCAGCAATGCAGCGTGGCAAAAATTGTGTGTAATGTAATTTATACCGGGAGATACCATTCAGTTTAGAAAAAATGCTGTTCTTTTAAAAAAAATTATATTCATCAAATAAAACTAAAAAAAGGATAACAGTTTCCACTAAAATATTAGGCAGCACAACTCTTTTCAACATTGACAAAAGAAATGTTTCTTTAGCTGAAAATCAGCACAATATAATAATTCTGAAGGATCATGTGACACTGAAGACTGGAGTAATGATGCTGAAAATTCAGCTTACATGCTAATTACATGTTAAAATATATTACAATAGAAAACAGTTATTTTAAATTGTAATATTTCACAATTTTACTGTATACTTCAAATAAATGCAGTCTTGCATAAGAGACTTCTTTCAAAACCTTTTGAATGGTAGTGCATGTTTACTTTTTTTGTAGTTAAATTCTGCTGCTTTACCATGTTCTTAACTCAGACATAGTAATTTGAGTTTCAACTAATACCGTATTGGCCCGAATATAAAACGATCCTGATTATAAGACGACCCCCCTTTTTCCAGATGTGCCTTTTGAAAAACTTCAAATCTGGGTACTGTCTTACGTTTTAAAATCACAAAGGGAGTTTGGTGCCATCAGGCTAACGTGACAGTCACGACTCGTTTTCTTTTTCTTTTGTTTTTACTCGCGATCTTTACAACACGCATTACATTACGTATTTCTTGGCACACTCGT